GAAGTAGGATTGCCCAACCTTCCTTCCGAGGAGTGGCTGGTGGGTTTGAACTGCCAGCCATCTGGTTAGCAGGCAAGTATATATATGTATATGTATATGTATATGTATATGTATATGTATATATATATAAGTATCATGGATGTTAAGAGACACATACCAGTAGTTTGTTGAAACCAGTAGGTGATCTGGTCATCCTCATGGCTGCCGATTCTTCCTGCTCTCTCTCTAAACCTCTCATTCTTCTTACTACCTGTAGTAAGAAGTACTACAACTACTAAGAAGTAGTACCTTACTTACCTGTAGCTGTCCATGCAGATTATATTTGCCACTGTCTTATTTTTCTATGTAACAATCATGCCAATCTTAGTAGTGTTAAATTTGCTTTTATAAAGTGCTAGTATCCTCAGAAGTGTGAGGAAGATGATGTGGGTGGATGGGAGAGCAAACAAACCACAGTGATTTTTGTTAAACTAATAATCTACACAAATTCAGCCTTGATTCCCTTTAACAGCATTAACTTATTTTGACAGCTATTCAGGATTATGAAACTGCTCAGGAGCACAATGAAAATGACCAGCAGATTCGGGAAGGTCTAGAGAAAGCACAAAGACTACTGAAACAGTCACAAAAAAGAGATTATTACAAAATCTTGGGAGTAAAAAGGTGAATTGTTGACTTGTGTTTAAAATTTGCTTTGCCATTTTCCGTCAACTCTTTTTTAAAGCCAGTCATTGCTATATTTTTTTAATCCCTTCTTGATTCATTTCCTTTTTCTGTGTAATTTCTATCATATAGGCTAAACCCTAACAATCTTTAACATCATCAAGTATTTTCAATATGTTACAGCAAAATTTGATACAGATTAGTAATGCAATGATGGAATTCATAGTTGGTGAGAGATGACATAGTAGTATGAACAGGTCCTAAGCCTAGATTTTTTTGAGTAAAGAGGTAGGAGTGAGCCCCTCTCCTTCATACTGGTGGGAAGGTGAGAGAGGATAGGGAAAAGACGACAACCTTTTTTCTAAGGTTAAAAATACAGCCACATTTTCAGAGTTCATTTTTTGGAATGCAGAGGTACATAATTTATACATTGTACACTTTTATGTGAGATCTATCTTCCCTGACCAACTGGACCATCAGTTTTTCAATCCTGATACAAATACAAAATACAAATTTGGAGTCAAATATTTTCAGAAAAGAAAATGATTTTTAATGCCAAGAATTTAATCATGATAGCTTGTAAATTCAGAAAGTTTAAAAATTGCTCCATGTGATTTTTTTTTTCCTCTAAAGGGCAAATTATGAAGATTTAGGAGTACTTTAATTTATTCCCAAATTATACTCTTAGTGAAAAAGCACCTAAGGCAGCACACCCAGTTTTAATGATCATCTAGATCATTCAGCTGTAGGCTGAATGTTTGGTGTATGATACCGATACCATGGGAAGGACTGGGAAAACCAGGTAGTTAATGTGGTAGTTGGGTCTTAATTGGCTCCTATAAATTTTATGGCATTGTTTTGGATACTTATTAAACTAATGATTATTAATTATTTTACTGCCTTCAGAAATGCCAAAAAGCAAGAAATCATCAAAGCATACAGAAAATTAGCAATGCAGTGGCACCCAGATAACTTCCAAAATGAAGAAGAAAAGAAAAAAGCTGAAAAAAAGTTCATTGACATAGCAGCTGCTAAAGAAGTCCTCTCTGACCCAGGTATTGTTGCCCTTAATGCATTTCTATACTCTTGAAATAGCTAATTGGTGATTGGCACTTTATTAGATCTTACTCCATTGACCCAACAACAATAATTAGTGTTAGTATAAGCGGTACGTGGAAAGCCTGGTGGTCTGGCTCAGCAGTTGGAGTTCAGTGCAGGAGGTGGTGGTCTGGAGGCTCACCTCAGGAGCTGGTGAGTGAAACTCAGCCTCACCGTTCCGTTTTTTGCTGTCTCTCCCTTGTCAGACTCTGGAGACCCTTGTATGTGTTGTACAGTGGAAGGACCATCAAATGTGGAGTCAGAAGGTCTGAGTTTGAATCTTATTTCTACTTAAAGAAGTTACTAGAACTTCTTGGCCCTCAGTTTTTTCACCTGTGATGAGGACATCATTGAGGGAGACCTTTTACGTTCTTTATGACTTCATAGGTCAATGATGAATTCTCTTCACCAAACTCCCAAGAGTTTGATTAGGAAACCAGGATGGGAGGTTATAATGTACAGTAGTTGGAGAGGAGCACATACCCGCCCAGTGGCCAGGCCTGCCATTCCCAATCCGAAGGTGTTCACAGGACTCTTGTACTAAGTCAAATGTCCATTAGATTTACTGGTTACGATATGTGTTCTTTCATCATACACTAAAATGTGGCCTGGAAATAAGAGGAACGTAATGCTGAGAATTTAGGTAATACTGAGCAATGCTTGGGATTTCAAGAGGAAATTTAATTTTAAGCTGATATCTGCTACTCTTTTATGGCCTTCCATGTCAGTAGGGACAGAAGGTATGGTTTGAATTAGACAAATTCAGCAAAACAGAAGGAAATCACATTTTTTTTTTTACATCCATTTGGCAAATCAAGAGTACCCAATTAAGGAACTGAAGTTAAGTGCTCCTTTGTTCTAAAGTCATTTATAGTCTACTCTAAAGGGGACAGATGTACTTCACCAGTAAGGACAGACTGTCCTTTTTGTAAGCAAATATTGAGTGCCAACAACATCCTTGGACTGTTTCATCCTTTTATCTAAAAAAGCTCGGTGCTCAGTCAGTGCAGAGATGGGGTAGCTGCATCCAACTGGGAGCCAGGAATCTTCTCTAGAGGTTGACTCTTGACCTGAGCTTTAAAGGCCAAGGATTAGAGAGCTAATCAAGGGCATTGGGATTGGCAGAGTGACAGAGGCATGCATCAGTAAAAGAACTACAGCTTGTTTGGAATGACTAGGGTGAAGGGTGCACATATGAAAACAGCAGGTGAGGAGGAGGCTAAGAAATGGGTAGTAGGGTTGAGATCATGATTGAATTTTGTGTGTAAAACTCAAGCAGCTGAATTGGATTTTGAGGAACATAGGAGCTACTGAAAAATTTCACATCTGCAGTTTAGGCATATCAGGCCAACAGCAGTATGGAAGGCGAATTGAGGGGGGGCTGTGCCTGGGCAGGAGACAGTGAGTTATTTCAGAGGATGTTGAGGTTTGGAGATAGCAGTAGGGATATCCTGACTGAGGCAGTGATGGTGTTGAGAGTAGGATTTGAATACTCAAGTTTTGATAAATATTGAGGAGGTTGAGCCCTCCTCAATAGTAGTGACTGAAGGGATGTTGGTGACAAGGTTGGAATTATTACAGACGAGCATTGTTTCGGCACAGCAGATTTTAAAGTTCTAGAGTGTTGTGAACTGAGTTAGGTGACAGTGACATTTGCTGAGATGAAGAACCAAAAAGAGGGGCAAATTTGATAGAGATCATGAATTAGCTTTGAGATGTGGATTTTGTGTTACCCATGAGATACAGGTGGTCCCCAGCTTACAATGTTACAGTGTAGTTGAGTGATTCTGTAATATTTATGTCTGTCTGGGTTTTTTTTGGGAGGTGGTAAATCTTGTCATTAGTCCTATGTACTACATATATACAGTGTTAACACATAATTTGCTGATGTTATCATTCTTAGATAGTCAAAGAAAGATCAGATTTTAAAAGATACTGATGAGGTGTTTAACTTACATCAGAACTGACTTATTACAGAGTCAAGAACTTTGATTTTCCTCTAATTTTAAGGTAACACATTAGTATGCCTACTTTATGGATGCTATAAGACCTGAGACTTCAGAGAAAAAGGATGTTTTTACTTACATCACAGCACACAGCAGGAGCATGTGTCAATTTCCTGAGCTTTCCAAATCCCATGTAGGTGATGTGATCCTTGTAGATGGATGCTTACACATGCAGCGAGTTGCATTACAGAAGAAACCTGAGCTTAGGGAATTTATACTGGACAGTCAACATGCCTGCCTTTTGCTGTGGAGGGAGACACTCCCTTTATTCTTCAAGGCTGTTAGCTATATAAACATCTAGGAGCTATATAAACATCTAGGAAAAGTCTGGAATAAAAGGGCAATCAGTACTTCACTGTTTTACTTTTAAGATGTGCAGAAAATGTATGTAAAAGACCCTAAGACTGTGCTGGGTCTGATATACAGTGTGCAGTATATGTACTGTATTACCTTACTGAAATCTGGAATTATGAACTCTCAAACACATTCAGCTTTAGGGGTGTTGGATGGAGATTCTAGTCCTGGACCATGTTCCTTTTAAAGATAAGCATTAAAGTTAGGAGAAGGTATGTGACTTTTGTTTAACGTAGCAAAGTTTGTTCTGTGGCAGGAACGCTTGGATTGGAACCCTGACCTCTCTGTAGAAAAATACAGTAATACACTCTTTGCATTTTGTTTTTGTATGTAAAATTAATCATGGTGCTGAAATTATTACCATAAATCAGTGTTTCCTAAAATACCGGCCCCATTTGGTAGTCAGAGACTATTTATCTCTAGACTGTAAGTTTTTGGTGTCCTTCTTTCACTTTTGCTTCAGATAAGTAGAGACTAATAGTTGTGTTGTAAATGACTGCTCACAAGCTTTTAAGACACCAGATACTACTACTCGCCATACAATGATGTATAAGGTAACTTTATGGACTATATTATGCCAGTTGATCAAGATGTCCCATGAGACTATTGTCCTAATCCTTCAAACCAGAAACTAATCCTGTGAGGTGTTTGTTATATCTAAGAAGTTTCTGTAACTTTGCCCGCTATGTGCTTTATTAGATATATATGAATCTATGTGCAGTACTTGGCTTCTTTAATAGAGGAATGGTAAGGTCAGATGTTTGGATTCTCAAGGATCTTATGATCTTATGTCTTCATTTTTGTTGTAATCTTTATCATAAGTAGATGCTAAATCTAAGAAACATGAATTCATCTTTAAGTCTTTTGTGATATGTCACACCTGCTGTCCTTTAAGATATTAGCAAAGGATAATGGAATGAGTGGGGGGAGGAGTCAGCACAACATAATGAAGGTGAAGGAAGACACTGAAAGGTACACAGGCGTAAAAGGCAGTAACAGGAATGTACGAGTGGACCCACAGGTAGTTATGTAAGCTGATCGGGGTGGAAGGGTAGAGGGGATTACACCCATTATATAACAGAGGGCACAGTCATGAACTCTGTCAACTATAACCAGACACCTCCAGGACTGAGAGCCAGGACAGAGTACTGGGCTTGAGGGCTAGGGACATCTAGATCAACTGGCATAACACAGACCCTAAAGACACTGTGGTACATCTTAATTTTGTGAGTAGCAACTGAGGTCTTAAAAGCTCATGAAAGGATCTCTTTCCATCTGGAGCAAGAAAGAGTGGAGAAAAACCAAAGACTCAAGGAAATAATTAGTTGAAGGGACTAATGTACTGCATGAACCACAGCCTCCACTGACCTGAGACCAGAACTAGATGGTCCCTGGCTATCACCACCTACCATTCAGACTGGGGTCACAATAGAAGGGAGCAGTGGGAGAAAAAGGTAGAATACAATTTAAATTCATAAAAAAGACCAGACTTACTGGTCTGATAGAAACAGTTGGAACCCCCAAGACCATATGGCCTCTAGATATTCTTCTAATTTAGAACTGAAGCCAGTCCCAGAGATAACATTTCAGCTGCATAGAAGACAGGCCCATAGAGCGAAGAGTACCATGCTTCTTAGAACAGAGGCAGCATTTGCCCAAAAGCAAACTTAAGAAGACAGAAAGGGGCTGGGAAACGGGGCAAATGGAAACGGAGAGAGTGCTAACAAACTGTGGAGACTGCAGCTAATGCCGTGGAACAATCTGTGTCTAAACTGCTGAATGGTAAACTTTCACCTAAACTATAATAAAATATTAAAATAAAAAAATGCAAATATATATGTATTCTAAAATAAAGATGTACTCTGCATATGTGTAAGAGAGGAACAGACCAACAGCTTTGTCAAATGGGATCATTCATATTATACATGCTGTTAAATGTGTTATATTTTATCTAGCTTTAAAGAAGGAAGATAAGGGAGTTAGTAAAATTTTAGATAAATGTCCTTAGTACAAAAGACAAATTTTCCTAAAATGGAGGACAGTCGTACAAAAACATTAAACTATCTGCTTTTAGTGTATGTTTTAATTTTATACAGTATTGTTGATTTCCTGTTGTAAAAGACGAGGAAATATCTTCCACTTCTACTCCCACTCCTTTCCTAATTTTTTTTTTTTTTTTTTTT